GAGAAACAAGGCATCTGCTTTTTATTTTAAACCATTAGCTTTGATTTGTTTCAAAGCAGTATAGTTACCATGAGATATTCCAGGAATTCACTATTAAAGCTTATCAGGAACAGCAGCCCCTCTGGAAGCCATGCTGAGTTAGCTTCAGTTAAAAAAAGGTTACAAGTGTACTACTAATTTCTACTACTCAATCTCAGTAGATGTACCCTGATAGAGACATTTTAGATAGTATCCATGTAATAACTGCATTACCTAACACAACAGGCATTATTTATCTCTCATGTCAAGTTTCCAGTTTATATTTCAAACTGCACAAAAGATTAAAATGGTGCATTATCTAAGAGGGATGGCTCACATTCCACCTAGCAGATTCTTAGACAACTTGAGTATTGCTTCCAAAAAGGAAAATATAACTCAAGCTCATCTGAACAAATTGCCTGAAGACATCATATATAACACAGGTTGGTTAACTATTACATAAACTTCCCTTGCCCCAAATCTTTCAGATCTACAAAACTAATTCTGTCCTCCACCAAACTGCCAAATAAGCATTTTCAGAAGTAATCGTACATAGAAACAGTCTTAAACCTTAAATTATACTATTTTTTAAACAATGCGCTTAAAAACACAAAAGACAAAAATTATATGATTGCATATGAATGTCTGACAGCAAAAATTACAGCTAGTTATCAAGTTAAATACCTCTGATCAAAGGAACAGGTGTTTATTTACAGTACAACTGCTCAACAGTGGGGAAATACTGACAACAATTAACACAGCAAACACACTTTGAAGTTTATTGAGCAACAGAAATATTGTCAGACTCAAACAGATTCAGCTTTGCAACAGAAAGCAAGAAATTACAGTAATAGGCACCAAGGCCTGTGTTTGATTTTTACATCCTTCTGTTCGAAATATATATTATTAAAATGCTTTCTGGCAGCAATATAAAAAGCTAAACAATGCTCCAAGCAAAATTTAAGCACTTTTATATTGCAGTGATTTCCATGGCAAAATTAAAAAGATCCTCTGACTGAAATCATTGGATTTAGACATATATGAATTTGCTTGACACTTGCCCTAATGTCTTTTAATCCTAATACATTTAATACTAAAAAAAGTTCTACAACTTCCAGGACAAAATACGCTACTGTAATTAAAGCCAGTGGTCCACTAACATTTCAAATGAAAAAAAAAGTCATTCAGTCAAAATTGTCAAGCTAACGGTGGATTTCTCATAAAGACAACAACAATTTTCTTACAATGAATAAAAACCCTGCTGGAAAAACTTGCAGTGTTTTACATCAATCCCTACAAAACCTATAATGAGGGGTGTTCTCAGAGTAAATCCACACCTGAATGTACGTTTCTATCAATGGCAAGCATTCTAAAATAGGACCAAAAATGATTCCATTGGTAAGTTAAAAAACAACCGTTGGAAAAGAGTCGTGAGACATCCTCACCAAGTTAGCAACAAAATTAGTCAGCCTTTTTAGCCATAAAATCACCTGAGTGTTCACACGAACTGGAGAAGTGCATAAGAAAACCAGCTGCCAAACAAATCTTCCTGTTACTCAAGGATAAGATTTCAAATCTCCCAAAGATATCCTTTTTTTTTCTTGTAACGAGAAATTTTATGTCAGTTTCAACAATGGACATCACCTGAACCACCAGCAATATTAGAACAGGATATTTGCCTAATTAATTCTTAAGACAGGTGAGTATCATTTAGTCTAGACTTTGGGGGAATGGGTTGTTTTTATAATTACTTAAAGTGCAAGAGACAAAGTGTATAAAAACAAATCAAACAGGTCTGTAATAGTAGTTCAGAGGCACATGCAAAAAACAACAACAGTAATCAGAACAAATGAGAAAAACATAAGGATGAAATTTGCATAAGGATGAAATTTCTTCCCTTGGGAATAAGTATGTTCCCAGCAATAAGGGCTATTCAACCAACAAATGATGCAGCATGTAAACAGGATTTCAAAGATATTGGCAGATAAGTTATATAGTACATGAAAAAAAATAATAATATTAAAAATATGACATCCAGAAATTGTGTCCAAAATACATTCTATTTAGAGAAATCCTCATGGGAAAAAGCTTCAAAAACTGCATACATTGGCAATATTTGCCAAATAGGCTACAAAAAAAGGCAAACAATTTAGAATACTGCAAATATTTCAAGCACACCATGTTTTTGGCAAAAATTGTTACAACATACATACAGCATTATCAAGATAATGAGTTATCTGGGTGCCAAGATCGAAGCAGATTCAGTTATGATGTGTCTTTTTTTAAAAAAATTAAGAAATAGGCTGCTGTTTTTGAAGTAGGAATAATGATTTCTCTAAGCACATTTTCCAAAATGCAATATTCTTAGTAACTTACCTGAGAAATTCTTCTATTTCAGTATTACATCTTCTAGAGAAAAATGAAAACATCTGATTTTGAACTGTTAACAAATTGGAAAGAAAATTATTCACACTGATGAGGACTGTGAAATTACTAGGATAGATTTGCATTCCAAAAAAGAAAAAAAAATCACATATGGGGGGAAAAGACAAAGAATATATTAGTAAAGTATCTTTGTCGATCAATACAATATGGTTTAATCAAATTAATGTAGGTTTTCTTCACCAGTTTTCCCTCTACTCCTAAAATGCCAAGATAGATTATTTCACACTTGCAGTGATAGGATTCCAAATCAAAAAGCTCCTAATTGCCATTTCTTCTGAAAATATGACTCCCTCATAGGCATCCATCTAAGTCTAGGATAAATATCAACCTAGTAATCAAGCAGGGTATGTCAATAATCTAGCATGAAAGAAAAATCAACTGTGCCCCAGTATCTTTTTGACACAATATTTCCAGGCAAAGCAAAAGTTTTTACTGCATGGAAAGTTATAGCCGAAACAGAAAATAAAATCACAGGACATAAGAAAACTGCATTTGAAGAAAGATAAAAACTATTATCTAAATTTATACAATGAAATACGTTGGTAGGGAAGGCTGTCTTCTATGATAAACAGTTTGGCAGAGTTACTGATAAAGCTGTCAAAATACTAATAAACATCCAAACCCTTAAAAAAAACAAGCAAAAACAATGGTTATTTCTGATCCCATTTTAAAATAAAACTCAGCAAACATTTCAAACTCCGCTTATAAATGTACTTTTCCCACCTCCCATCCTGAGAACATTTTTTACGTTTTGAGACAAAATAAAATAGCTTATATGTAGTTCTTCTAAAAATATACAGCTATCTACATTTCTATTAATTTTTTCTATGAATTATTCAAAACATAATTGAATTAAGTGATTCATCTTTTTTTAAAAATCCAATTTTTTTTCTCTGTATAGCACGATAATTGTGATCATACTGAGAACAATTACAGCTGGAATGTATACTGTAAAAGATAAAGCATTTGATATTTTTCTTCAAAAACAATTTCTTTTATCCCCTTGCATGTTATAAAAATAAACATATATCCTATAGTTTTAATAAATAAGTGCACCCATACCCCAACTTTGTGCTGGCACAGGAAATAATATAGAGCTCATAAATCTAAAGGTGAAAAGCATTTTCTTAAAATCTGCTTTTTAAATAAATATTTTATATGGCATAGTAGGCTAAGTCTCCAGCATCAGAAATGTGAAATTAGCTTGAATGGCAACATTTTCATAATGACAAATTATGTGACTGTTTTCTTTTGTTTATCAAGAAAAATTACCCAGCCACATACTCCATAATTCTCTTCCTAAACATATAAATTTAGTGTCTCTCAAGCACTGAGAAAATCCAGAGAACCTCTACAGCAAGAAAATAACAAATAGTCTGTACACAAAATTGACTTAACTTTGCACAATTCTTCTCAATGTTGATAAACATTTCACAACTTTATCCACTGGCACTCTAGAGCTGTTCTCTCTAAAAATATGATTTATCTACTGAAATGACTAGTAATATGCCTGATATACAAGCATATTACTATTCCCTTAATATCCCATCTTAGAAAATCCACACTGTTCATTAGAAAGCTGTAAATACACCTTCAGCAAAACATACTGGAGTGTCTTTAACCATCCCTGGTAACTGGTTTGTTTTTTTTGCAGAAATGCTAATACATATTACACTCAATGACCTTCAACCACAGAATAAAAATAAAATTTTAAGACTCTCTAGAACATATAAAAGTCTTCCACAAAGATAACTTTTGTCCACAGGTATGATCTTTGAAGAACCTTTGGATTTCCATCAACAAGACATATTTTTTTTATGTATAGTTAGCAAAGCTCTGGTTCTTGGTTTTAAGCAGGGCAAGAAAGCTAGAAAAAATAAGCTGGAGCTTTCCGAAGATCAACAAAGAATCCAGCCCCAGACTTCTTCACAGGCTGAAGGTGGTCAGAGGGGCTTCAGCTGGAGAAACTTGACACTTCCCTCTTTCCCTCTGAAGGTTTCTCCAATTGCTTGGTGCTTTTGAAAAGAACCCAGTAGCATTGCTTCCAGCTGGTTATTAATAATTTCAGTATTACTTTCATTACCTAGGTGGCTGGCAGGAAACCTGCTGGTTGCTGGAGATGCTTGAAACTGCCAACCTTTGGTTAAGGATGACTATTGTTATTTTTAAGAAGTTTTTTTTCTAGAAAGGCTAACACTGTGAAGTCCCACTCTGTTCCATGGGATATTCTTTCTGGCTTATTTCTCTCTCTCTGCCATTACACCAGGTTCTTCTCTGGCTCTTCCGACTACTATCAAAAACTGATTTAAGATACCTGTATGGTCTTGCAGAAGCGGACTCTCCCCCTGGCTACTTCAGCTTTTCAGACGAACGGGGGGGGGGGGACTCTGCAAAAGCCAAAGGATGTGAAACGGAAGGCAGGGCTTCCATGGCCCTTCCCCAAGACCATGAGATCAAGGTCTAATCCCCTTTCTGCCACGCATGGCAAAGTTGGGTGCACGATGGGTCTCTCCTTGTTTGGGGGGGAGTCACACGCCTCAGCAAGCGCTGGTCTCCGGCTCTGTGAGTGCCTCCCTGCCGGGGGGCTGACCCCCCACTGCCAAGGTCTGCGCTGGGGCCGCGGCGGCGGCGGCGGCGTTGATGTGGCAGCCGCTGGAGAGGTGGCTCCGGACTCGACCTTGCAGCTGGGTGACCTGGACGCGGAGAAGGCTGGCGGTGGCGGCCAATTCGGCGTTTTGCCCTTTGAGCGCTTTGACTTTCTCCTCCAAGCGGGCGATGCGCTCCAGCTTGCGCCGGCGGCACTTGGAAGCGGCGATCCGGTTGCGCAGCCTTTTGCGCTCCGCTTTCAGGCGCTCTTGGCTCTCCGCGTCCAGCGGCGATAAGGAGGAAGGCGGCGGAGGGGACTCCCCGGACGAGAGCCCCGAAAGAGGCAGCGGCGGCAGCGGCGGAGCTGACACTACAGGCGCTTCCGGTACAGTCTGCGGCTCCTCCAAAGCCCTGCCGGTGGAGCCGGGCGCGGGCAGACGAGCCACAGCCTGGGGAGCGAAGAAAGTGCCGGCGGCCGATGGGCTGGCCGGGTTGAAGTTGCCTAAGGTGGTGTAGACGGCGGGGGGATCCTGCCTGGACGGCGGGCAGCAGGGCCCTCCCGGGTGCTGGGTAGGCGAGAGAGGCGCCGGGGACACCCCGAGCAACTGGTTCTGTTTGTGCAAATCGGCCAGAGCTTTCACGAAGCCATCGGCGAAGCCCTCCTGTTCCTGCGTCACCGCCTGCGGCGGAGCCGAGGACTGCGGAGACCGGTACAAGAAGGGCGCCCCGCCGGCCGCCGCCACCACCACCGAGGGCCCTCCGCCGCTGGGGCTGGATGGGCCGGCGAGGCCCGGGCTGCCCGCTTGGATCAGCAGTTGCTCCAAGTCGGCGGCCGCCGGCAGCTTCAGCAAAGGCTGCAAAACGGCTGGGCCCACCTCTGGGCCGCCGCCGCCACCGACGGCCGTCTCCTGAATGAGCCGGTGCACGGCGCTGCTGGGGCCGCCGCGGGGGCGCAAGAACGGCCCGGCCGGGGGCAAGGTGGCATTACCCGGGGAGGCCGCCCCTAAATCCCGAGGAGGAGGAGGAGGCGGCGGCGGCGGCGGCTTCCCGGCGAGGAGCAACTTGCGTTGTTGAACCGCTCCGTTTTCCTCGGGCGGTTCAAGTCCCGTGGGTCCCCCCGCTCCGGGCCCGCCACCGAAGCCCGGCAGCTGCACGAAGTCCGGGAGCAGTTCCAAGCCTTCTTCGCCGTAGTAAGGGGCTACCTCCATCTTCACGGCCACGCGGGCGCCAGTGCGCCCGCCGCCGCCGCTGTTCATGCTGGGCGGGACGGCGGCGGGTTTGGAGTGGCCGCGGCCGTCGCCGCCGCCGCCAGTCCCCCAGGTCTGTCTGGCTTCCAGAAAGAGAAACGACGCGGTCCCGGCCGCCAGCTCCGCTTCCAGCGCGGCGACGGGCTGCAGCGAGTGTTTCACGCCTGGCGCCGGCTCGCCATCTCCCGCCCCTGGGCAACCGCCCGGGGCTCGGCGCTTTCGACTTGCGGCTTTTCGGGGGAGAAAACTCTTTTTTTTCCCCCTTGCAGGCAGAGGAACTGATGTCAAAATGCCTCGCCCTAGCAACTCCTGCTACTCCGCCTTTCTTGGCTGGGGCTGCGGCGGCCACACGGCCCTCTCGGCTCAGCATCGGAGGGCGGAGCGACGAGAGCCGCGTCGCCTGCTTCTGTCTTCCTTTTCTCGCTCCTCTCCTCTCCCTTCTTGCCGAATAAACAAAATGCAGCCGCAGGAGAGGCGAGCGGCGCTTCCCGCCGAGATCGGCCGAGGCTAGTTAGTAGAGAAATCCAAGCGAAAGCTCGCCGCGAAACTTTATCGCTCCCTGACGTTGCACTGCGGCAGGGACGCCTCGGGGTTCCAACTAGAGTCGCGCAGGCTACCAGATTCGCCTGAAAACTAGGGGCAGAAAGGTGCCTGTTTTCCCCGCCGCCCACCCCAAACTTTCTTACAGAGCAGCAGTCTGATGGACGGTGCGATAAACGGGCAAAAGTAAAACTGCTGCAAAGGGTAAGTCGTCGTAGCCCACTGGTTCTCAACCTTTTTAATGCCGCGACCCCAACCGGTCATAAGTCGAGGACTAAACCGGTCGTAGGTTGAGGACTAAACCGGTCGTAAGTTGAGGACTACCCAACCGGTCGTAAGTCGAAGACTTTCCCTGCCCGGGAGCACCACGCATGCGTGGTTCCGCCCCCTGCGCCGGCCGAGGCATAGCTGGCAAGCGGCAGAGACGGAGCAGGCCGACTACCAGCTGGCCCAGCCCAAGGGAGGTAAGGCACCCACCGGAAAAGGGGGGAAAAAATGGCGGACAAAAAAAATGGCGGACAGCCTTGCTTGGCGACCCCCATGAAATGGTCGATCGACCCCAAATGGGGTCCCGACCCACAGGTTGAGAACCACTGTCGTAGCCGAACTGCTATGACGTCGTTTAGCCAGAAGAAATAAAAAGAAACGAGCGACCCCTAATCTGACAGTTTCTTCGTCTTCCTTAAGGGCCTTCGTGCTGTCATCCTCCTTTCGAGAAAATGCTTTTTTTCCGTTTTTGAAAAAAGGGCCTTTCCGTTACAAATACAGAGCGACTAGAAAGGGAATGCAGTGTGTGTGTGGGGGGGGGGGAATACTGGAAAGTAAACTTACCACCACAATTGAGCCCAACCTTTATGCTTGCTGAGTGAGAATTTTGTTAAGCGAATTTTGCTCCCATTTTACCGCTTTCCTTGCCAACGTTTGTTAAGCGAATCACTGCGGTTGTTAAAACTAGTGACACGGTTGTTAAGTGAATTTGGTTTCTCCCCCGTTGACTTTGCTTGTCAGAAGATCGCAAAAGGGAAATCACATGACCCTGGGACAGTCACAAATATGAGTCAGTTGTCAAGCATCCGAATAGAGATCACGTGACCGTAGGGATGCTGCAATGGTCATAAGTGTGAAAAATGGTCATAGGTCACTTTTTTCAAGGCCGTTGTAACTTCGAATAGTCACTAAATGAACTGTTGTAAATCGAGGACTACCTGTAGGAATTAGGCTACTTACATTCAGCAAGGAGGTGTTGCCAATGAGCTTTTCCCAATGTGCATATAAACACTAGACCAGGCATGTCAAACTGCGGGCCCATGGGCCAGATGCCTCACGATGAAACCGTGCCCACCCCATTGCCAGCAATGGGGAAAAAGTCATGATACGCAACCGTGCCCACCCCATTGCCGGCAATGGGGAAAAAGTCATGATACGCAACCGTGCCCACCCCATTGCTGGCAATGGGGGAAAAGTCATGATACGCCGTGCGACGTCACGAGTTTGACATGCCTGCACTAGACAAACATTATCTGGCAACTCTATTTTGCCAGATAATATTGCTTCTATCTCAACCTCAAACCATGCCTGAAACAGCCATAAGTTATGTTTACCTGTTGATAAAGAGGTATTTCCTCCCTTAAGCCAAAACATCCCACAAGAGCAGGAGTGTCAAACTGCCGGCCCACGGGCCGGACGCGTCATCCAGAAGCTGCACCGACCCCATTGCCGGCAATGGCGAAACCGTCCTGATACATTGCGCAACATCACAAGTTTGACATATCTGCACAAGAGTTTTAAGGGAGGCAAAAAAAAAAGTCTTGCTCAGGTTAAGCCTGTTCTTCCCTATCCAGATCCCCACAACTTCCAGGCATTTGAAATAACCTTGAGAGCATCACTTTTGGGCAGGCTGTGGTAAAGCCACAACAGACAATCACCAGCATACTGATGCCAAGCATTTAGAATGATGATTTCATCCAGCACCTTTATATTGACGTTAAATAGGAGTGGGGAGAGAGTCATACACTGAGGCACTCTGAAATGCAGGAGTCTTAAGTCTGGACCCCATCAACACCAATTGTAGCCACTCCTGGAAGAAGGAGAACTACTTATTGTAAAGCACTGCCGTCCACTCAAAATTCAGGTGCTTGGGACATGGCATGTATTTATGATGGTTGCAGGGTCCTGAGGTGATATGATCACCTGTTGCAACCTTCTAACAAGCAAAATCAATGGGGAAGCCAGATTCACTTAATAGCTGTGTTACTAACTTAACAACTGTGGCAAGAAATATCTTTAAACGGGGCAGAACTCAAATAGCAACTGTCTTGCTTAGCAACAGAAAGGTTGGACTCAGTTGTGGTCATACGTCGAGGACTATCTGTATTTCATTTTATGCCCCTATCAGAACATCCAGATCACACTGCAAAAATTCAGGGGTAAATGTATTGATTTAGGGCAGGGGTAGTCAACCTTGGCTCTTTTATGACTCGTGGACTTCAACTCCCAGAATTCCTGAGCCAGCTAAGCTGGCTCAGGAATTCTGGGAATTAAAGTCCACGAGTCATAAAAGAGCCAAGGTTGACTATCCCTGATTTAGGGGAAGACAATTTCCCATTTAACACTCCCAATCTAACCCAAACTTTGTGGCCCCATTCCACTTATATCGTTGCATCACTGGCCACCCACTCCTCTAACTCTGATTAGCTCCTAAAATAAAAAATGGACTTCATCTGCAAAATATTTCTTTTTGGCTACTTTCTTGAATGAATGACATCACATTCTGTGCATTAAGGTTTGTTATTGAAGCTATCTCAGAGTTTGAGAACTGGTATTCAATTCATCTCTTCCGCCAAAAGAGTTGCTTCAGTCAGTGGAATATGGAGGAGATAATTCCACATCTACAGAACTTATTAGCCAAAGATGCTGGGGAATCCTGTGTTAATCTTACAGGGAAAGGAAAGTCTAATGTGCAACGTAATAGTTTAATCAACTTTTTCAATGAGTATACTCTGATGGACTTAATCTAGATCTATTCCACAGACTGTTGTGCACTTTATTAGCGAAAGGCAGTTCTGAAACATGTCAAGTAATAAAATTGCTCAGATGAATTTAAAACAATTATGAGATTATTCTGTCCAAGACGTTGTAACAATGAACTTGAACAAAGGCATCCCTGATCATATGGCTATCTTTATATACATGGATATTCAGATATGTTGGCTACAAGAATACTACAAAAAAAGTAAACCTGTAGCAATCTGCTTTCTTCCCATCTTTGAGCCAACAGAAAAGCATGCCAGTGTAGACAACTCTGCTCCACAGCTTGCCTTTGCTATGCATTGATAACAGGTCTGGCCAGTGGTGCACTCCACACTTTTTCAATTGAAGGAGTAAACTGGTGGCTTTCCTTTCCTGTCCCACCTAACATTTTCCACCAGCAAGAAAACCAACCACTAACTGCTCCTGTGAATGGGTGGTGAGGCAGGATTCTATATTCATTTTTATTGCTTACTTTTGTCCTACTTTGCTAGACTTTCATTGTTAAGCATTAATGATAGAAGAACAAAAAACACCTTGATGTTCAGCCTCCAGAAGAAAAGACCTGCAATGAAAGTGAACACTTGTGAATAACATGGATAGGCACTCTTCTATCAGAAATTCTGAAGGTGTATCCTGTTGTCAACAATGAAGGTCATCTTACTGGTGGTGTCCTGGTCAGAAGATGAGATCTAAAAAGTCATAATTTCTTCTCCTTCTTCCTATGAATAGTAGAGATGAATGAGGTTTTCCAGGTGTTATTTACCCACAAAGAATTGAAGTTCCCCATGTTCTTCTAAGTCTCTAAGTGCCTCTTCTGGCTTTTTTTCTTGAATAGGAACATAGAATACTCCTCTCTCACCTTAATATATCATGAGCCCTTCCTAAAACTAAAACAAAATTGAAACAAACTTTCTCACTTGCAAAACTGCAATTTTGTTTCAATCTGGCATGAATTCATTCATCCCAGGCCCCCTTTTAAGTAGTTACTCCTATGAACACATTTTAGGAAGTGCTCCTATTAAATATACCCAGATTCACACTTCTTCAAAATTGATGGGGAAGTCAAATCTTTAAACATGCAGCAAATGGGAACAATCATCTGTACGTTTATTTTATAGAATGAGCCTTTCCAATTGCAGATCTCTCTATCCATCTGTACAAATGCATACATAGTCACATATACAGTATATGCATACATGCTCACACACGAAGAGAACTGTTTTGCAACCACACTGTGTAGCCAGTACTATCTACTGTTCCTTTACCTCATCTACCTAACGAAGAAAAGCTTGTAGGGACATTTTTTGCCTTATTATTGCTTACTAATGGGAATATTAACTTCATGGTAGACCAATGGCCAAGTTTCCATGAAGTCAATATTCTCATTAGAAGAAATAGGCTGTTCCAGTGAAGTGACCAATTCCTCTACAGAAAATAGC